ATGTATATTTGCAGCTAGGTTTTTGCAGTTTTTAATTGTATACGCGTGCTCACTGTTTACTGCGTGTATGTCGTGCATGTATCGTGTGTTAGTCAGAATTAAGTGTACTTTCGCGTATGCGCTCGCGCTCCCGAAACAGGTTCCGAAGTGACGTTCTGCGCGACGGGGACGACACGTCCTGTCCTCCTTCCTCTCGTTCGCCTACCTTTTTTTTTTTCGCACGTTTTTATCCGTTTTTTGAACATTATAGAAAAATTTGTCTAGAAAAATCGGTCTCGGTCCTTGTCCAAGTACTCACTTACTCAAGTATTGGAACACGACGCTACTCTCTATATATATATATATAATATATATTTATATATATATAATATGTATATATCAATATATATTTTTAGTTATCAATTGATTTAGGTGAATTGGTACCTAGGTAAGTTTCGCTACACAATTATATCGATCAATTAGTGAAACGTGTGCGTGTATGTGTGTGTGTATATATATATATATATGTGTGTGTATGTGTATAGCGAGTGTGTGAGCGCCTGTCAACGACGCGTGCTCCATGCTCGCGAAGTATGTGGATTGAGAAAAATTTTCGCCTAATATATGAGCCGGGCATCGCGCGCACACGCGCGTGATTTCCACACGTGCACGGCCGTACGCGCATACACGCCGGCGATTTTCTCATATACATATACATATATAAATTTACCCGCGATAACAACACGGATATGCCCGATCGCGGCCCGCGTTTTAATTTATTTATTGCCCGTGTGTGTCGCACGGATTATGTCACCTCTCTCTCTCTCTCTCTCTCTCACACACACACACACACACACACACACACACATTCTCTCTCTCTCCCGCTTTCACTCTTTCTTTCTTTCCTCTCTCTTTCGTTTGACTTACAAGAACGGTGACTCGTATGTAAAATTGCACTAACTAATGCTCACATTCTCATTGTGTCCCTCTCCCTTTTTCGCGTCTCTCCTTTAAGTTTCTCTCATTTTCACGGTTTTTGTTCTCCATTCCGCATCAATCCCCTCTTCTCTCTCCCGCCGATTCTTTCCTGTCGATCGAAACAGTTCCGGGCTTCCGTCAAGTGCGTAAGAAAAAGTCGATCGTGTCTATTTAGAATACTGCGAAAGATAGCAACAGATAGAAAAATTTAATGTACTCACTCTATTAATTTATGTGTACAATTATATGCTAATGTTCGCCCATCTGTTTCTCTTACCCAAAAGCCTTTGGTCGCGTGGTGGCGATTCTTCTCTATACACGTCCCCTGGTTTTTATTCGTTTCACCTATTTTATCTAAAAGTTTGCCCGCGTTTCGATCAAATTCAAATCTAATCTATCTTAATTGAGAACGCGAGTCAAAGAGGGCCGGCAACGAGAACTCATTTCTGCCTCATCTGCTCTATCATATTGGATGATAATATCTATGAAATTTATATTAATTTTTCCCCTTCACATCACCACACACGTGTCCTCGTGTTTTCGCGGGCCGAACGGTGTGTCTCAGACGAAGGGACGGAGGGTCGTCGTTGAACGCGCCTCTCTTACTGCGACTTCCGCCACACAGCATCCGCCTAATAATAATTCATTCCCTCCCGTACGGTGCTCTAATAAACGCCACCGACTATCATCTCTACACGCGGCGAGACAAGATATATATCATATATACAAAAAGGAGTACCAAAAAAATAAATATATATGTGTGTATATATATATATATAGACGTGTGTGTAAGGATTATTTCTTTTTGTCCCTTTCCTCGTTAAATCCGTATGCAAGTACAGATGTATCTCATCGGTCGTGTATCGCCTGTGTGTTGTGTGTGCTCTCATGTGTCTGTGTGTTTATATGTGTCGCGAATTGTACAAAGTCCGATACGTGTGCAGAAGAAGAGTATCGCGAGAGAGACTCGTCATGCGAGGTTTAAACTACGTCTTCCGACTGCTGCTGCTGCTACGTTCAGAATGTGGCTTTTTTTTTTTGTCATCTACGAAGCGGAACACACAACGTTGCATACTAATTTCGAGTACGACGCTTCCCAGCCCCACGATCTTTCGGCCGTCTCGCGAAGGAACAATCCGGCTATTGTCGGAAGTATTGTGAAAAGACACGCCTTTTTTTGCACAACAAAAGAGTCACTGCAAGGTGACGAATGTTCGATATTAGCGCTTAAGCCTGCCTCCTCTACTACTGAGTTAGTTATCAAAAGTATCCTATGTTACGTATCGTAAAATATTGTCAAATGAGAGACGAGTGATGGTACGGTAAATTGCTTTAGGTAAAACGCGTCGAAAAATCGTCGGTTAAACTTTGCCGCGAAAATGTCATTCGCTTCTGCTAAAAGAACGAGCGCTAGGAAGTATCGTGCTTAAAATTAACGGAGGTCCTGCTATTTGCCAGCCAAGATTCTGTCTATATAAAACCTTTCGGGAATAGAAATCCTGCTTCTCAGCGAAAAGTGAATTCTTTTCTTCCCCCTCCTTTCTATTTTTCTTTCATCCTTTTACTTGAACTACGGCGATTGCGTTTGATTATATACACTCAGCGAAGAAGTCCGTTTCATTTTGAAAGGATTAAGAAAACGTGCACACTCGCGATTAATAAACGCCGGTTAATTGATTAATCGGTTACGGGAGAGGGATCGGTATGTATGTACAGGAGCGGACAACATGCGGTATTCTTTATATGTATATATATATGTATGGATCTATAATAATGTTCCGCGCGAAACGCGACCCCCTCAAGACGCGCCGCTTACTCTTGCAAATCATCTATCGGACGTATGAAGAGAGTAATTAGATACGATCATTCTATGTATAACACGTTGCTCCGATACTCTGCGAATCATGCTTTCTATCGCTACTTTGGTTTCGAGAAACGACACTATTTCCCTTGTGTCCCGAGCGTCTCTTTTTCATATCTTCCACGAAGTCGAGCATGAGATCGTTTCACCACGAGAAAGGATTTGCGAGGTACATCGCCCGTTTCGCGAAGAAGAGGGATATACGACTTCAGACGTGGATGTTCATGGACATTCCGTGCTTACTGTCGAACGGGGAGGAAAGAAATCGCGCGCACGTCGCATCCCGAAAATACGCTTAGCGTATATTACCGATCGTTCTCGTCAACGTAAACCACGAAGAGAGTGACCGTTTATATTGCACATAGTAGTAGTAATAATAAAGTCGAAATGTAAAATTCGTCATTGCGGTAGCGGCAATCCTCAATCCTCGCGTTCCTCGCGAGTAAGTAGCGGACCTCTTCCTTCTTCACGGGCGGACGATACGCGCGACTCGACTTCGCAACCTCTCCGTTTCTCTCGCGAAGGTTCGTCAAGGTAACTCGCATGGGTTTTTGGGATAGAAGAGAGCTCGGCGCGCGCGGATATTAGCTTAGGCAAGGCCTGGACAGCCTGGAGCACGCCGTCACGATGTCACATTGACGTTTGAAGAATTAAACTACTTCGGTTTCCCTCCTTCCGTCACCCGTATGACACCTGTTCTCCTTAACTTTCAGTTTCCTCTATTTATGTTTCCTTTATGTTTTTATCTACGCATTATTTTCTTCTCACTTGAATAAGTTAATTAGTAAAAAATCATTTTCTTGAATGCTTCCCTATGAACGCGCGGTTGCGTTATACGTACGAGAAACGCATCACGCAACACATCTATGTAACATATTTTTATTAAGTTCTTAATAACTAGGAAACTGTGTATATATATATATATATATATGTGTGTGTGTGTATACATGTAAGTATGAACGTGTGTATGTGTGTGTTCTGAATTGTAATACAGAGAATTACCTACACAGCAGGTTGAAGCGTGGCTTTTTTCATTACTGATTAACATCCAATGCGGATGATTCGTCACTCTCTTATCTCTATCCTTTCTCCCTGTTACCCTCTTCTAGGTTTCCCACCGGCCCTCATCACCTACACGTCTTTTCTGATGTCACTGCTTCCACTATCACCCCCTCATTCTTTCCTCGTCTCTTTCTTTCACGCATGCTCTTCCAATCTCATTCGCTCACTCTGACAACACACTTTCGCGTCGAATCAGGTACTCGCGTTTCTTACGAACATTCGTCGCGCGGAAATCACTACGTCGCTCGGGAGCGCGAGTTTTCGTTCGGGCTTTCGTCCAAATGGACGATGTCGGTGGGAAAACACGAGCCCCATTTGTCGAGAAGTCGCTTCCGCCAACGTCCATCCGGGTCGTGCTTCACAAAATCAAAATCTCGCTCGATCGGGATGGACGGCACGGGGAGAAACTCCTTCCTTCTCGCGGCAGTCGAACGGAAGGGGCGATCCGCGGCAGATCGAGACGCAAGCACGAGTCGGATCTATATTCGTAATCGCGCTGCCGGCGATTTCGGTAAACATACTCGAGGAGGATTGGTGCCAACAATTGGCAGGGTGCGTACGCGAGGTCGGCGGCGGCGACGGCGGCAGCCCCTCCCTCGCTTGCTCGCTCTTCGAGACTCGCGGTAACTAACAATACTCGATCTTTCGGACAGAACCGGTGCATTTTACAGCGCAGACAGATAGGATTATACGTGTACGAGTAATCGATATACTGAGAATCCGTGTCCATTTCTCTTCTGAATCCTGTGTCTCGGCGTGTATTTTTCTTCATTTTCTTCTTCTTTTTCTGATTCGACGATATCGACTTGGCGTGGATCCGATCATTTCCTCTTTTCTTGGTTGTCTTCCGGCGCCATCGTCGGGTGCAGGATCCGTTTCCGGTTCGACAAAGTCATCTAGATGGGCATAGGTTTGCCCGACAATGATACCGGTGGCCGTTAGCAAGTCGTTATAGATGCGAGGTCAAAGATCGGAATAACGCCGAGAGTCTGCATCGATTAACGGGCAACAGCGGCTGGTTTCTTCCTCCAGTATAACCGGTACAACTTGAAGTAGTAGCAGTGGAGTAGTAGTAGTAGTAGTAGTAGTAGTAGTGGTAGTAGTAGTAGTAGTAGTAATTTGTAGTAGAATAGTAGTTGTGGTAGTAGTAGTAATAGTAATAATAGTAGTAGTAGAGTAGAGTAGTGGTAATACGTAACGATCGAGTGGTGGTAGTAATAGTATAGTAGTAGTAGTAGTAATAGCAGTTTTGAGGCTGTGTTCTTGTAGGTAAGTAAGTAAGTAATATAGAAGGCGGAGGAAAGTGAGGGTTGGGTGGGGCACGTGAGGGGAGGGTGGGGAGATATGGGTAGAGGTGGTAGTTAATTAGCTAGGGCTGCGAGATAATTAGGGACAACGCAGCTGGGGTTAACACCAACGGAAAGGCACGGCCCGAGGCCGATCCGCGCCCTCCTTCACCAGCGGCTTGTGGAACTCCCGACCTGGCCGGGAGTGAATAGTTGCCCAGCAATGCTCGCAGTAGTACTGAAAATAGACAGTATTATATAATTCGAATTTTATGAACAAATTCATAAGATTTCATCTTCTTTCTTATTAATACAAGAGAAAAGAGAAATTTTATTAGATAATTAATTCAATAAAATAACTATTTCATTAAAATAATGCATAATTATTTATTAAAAGAAAAGCTTAATAGAGAAAAGTTTCCATCAGTTCATCATTAGTATATCAGTTCAGAAGATGCAAATATGATTTTAACTTTGAATTAAATGAATAGAATTTTTTTAAATATAAAATCTCAGTAAAATCTCAGAAAAACCTAATTTTTTAATGGAATTACTTTTTGCTATATTTGCACAGAAATTTCCAAACTTTGTCTTCAAATTAATTAATAATAAAAACCGCATTTTTACTTCTTCTTTTACTATTTACGTTATTAATAAAGATGAGCCGATTAAAATATACCTGTAGACAGGTAACGTTGGCGCAGAAGAACGGCGCAAACTTGCCTCCGCAACGCTGGCCTTGACATTCGTCACACATCTGATCGTCCAGAACATATGGTTTGACTTCAACCTATTCGAAAAATTATCGGTATGATTAGAGAAAATATGAAATACTCGAAGTATTTAGAACATGAATAATGAGAAACAATGTTCGTAATTTGTAAAAAAAGTTTTTAAAACAGCTCTACTAATCATGGATTTAGATCTCCATTCTCGTTCTGAATGCTTCATTTAGGCTGGTATTCGTAGTCCATTTTTATATTTAAGAATGTTTTAAATACAATCTTAAGATAGTATGAACTATGATCACAGATGCTGTAATAGCTTGCTTTTAGTATCTTAAGATATTACATGATTTTGAAATATGTGTAAAAACGAACTATGATTATCGAATAGAGATGTTACTTTATAGAGATGTATAGAGATCGTTCGAGCCGTCTTAGAAAATAGAATTCTTTTCCGTACTTACCCTTTTGTCAATATCGCCGTGCTGCAGCTGTACGAATCTGGCTGAGATGGCAGCTATGTAGCTTTGCTGATTACTGAAGGCGACCCTGCCGGCACCTTTGGGATACTTGAGCTCAGGATCAGTGTCGATGCCAGCATAACAGACACCACCATAAAGCCGATCCATGATCATCGCGAGCTCGACTGCCTTGAGCGGCCGCGGCACCCCGCCGACAAAGACTGTCTTTCGCGGATCGAGCGGCATGGAGGCGTCCAGCACAAAGTCGGCATCACTGAGCCGCCAAGGTCGAATCTGCACGGGCTTATCCTTGATCGTGGGCGAACTTACGCAAAGGTAAAGTTTGTCCTCGTCTTGGATGCAGGCATCTATCAACTGTTGTACCGAACCCTCGTCCTGGAATAATCGCATAACATTCGATTATCATTCATTTCTGTTAGTTAATTTTTATTTTCAATTTTTTTTCTTAATTACTGTTAATTTAATTTGATTAATTCACATAGTCCGAAAATGAAAACCAAAAAAAAGCGGAAGAAATCGAAAACATACCTGGAACAGCAGAAATGCGTAGCCTTTCGGCGGGAAGTAAGATTTGCTTTCTGCTTTGTGCGGCCAGTCCACGACAAGCGGACCAAAGCGGCGGAAACTGGCTGTGATCTCGTCTGAATTAAGAAGATGTATTGTGATTACATCACCATATTACGTCTTGTCCCGCAAATAATCAATCTTGGATGATATAACATGAACTCCGTACCTTCATCGATATCAGGCGGTAATCCACCGACGAAGACTTTCCTCGAGAAACGCTCGCCGGTTTCGCTTCCCTGGCTATGCGGACTGCTCCGACTTGGCGATGAGAGCGGCGCCGCTTGGGACGCCGTTATTCCGCCACCGACGCCGACGCCGACGCCTACTCCGACGCCAACGCCGACGCCGTCCAACTGGCTCGGCGCATTCGGATCCTCCAGCCCTTGCTCATCGAGACTCGGGAAGAACGGAGATTTACCTGAAAGACAAAACATTTCTCCACGTGAGTGATTCGATCCATCAAGAGGTAAGTTAAGTAATAAAATATAAATAAATTAAAGAAAAAAAATTTGGATATGCATGAAAATAAATTCGCCGATATTAATAAATAAGTTACATTTAATAGATAATAAAGTTTGGTGAAATAAGACTTTCCCAAGTATCTCCTTGCTCTAATTTGAATATAATAATGGAGAAATTTGAACCATCACGTGTGTCGATCTTATATCATGAAACAACAGATCGTTATGGATCGTCGCAGGAATCAAGGTCCGGATCTGACATTCATTCGTTGTCGGAGAATTCATTATGCAATTGTGCGGAATCACGTAACAAGCGGCGTGTGTATTATGTATACGAGACGTTAAAATGAGAGGGAAGGAGAGAATCGCGTGCAATAAGAGTACTTTCGACATAACTACTTCTTCTTTTTTTAATTGAATCGGAAATTTTTACGTTGCATTTGACTGAATTACAGCTTCGTAAAAACGTATCGATTATATAACGTGATGTTCTCTCTTTCTCTCTCTCTCTCTCAGCATTGTTTCTATTTCAGAGATAAGAAGACGATTTTCTTAAAATATACATATCGGGGACAAAATTATTTAATATCCCGAAACTGAAAATATATTACGAATAATTAGTATTAAATTTTTGAAAGAAAAATCAGTGGATCGCATCCAGTGGAGCGCAATCGTTAATCCGGTCAATCAATGTATTCTATCAAAGATTCCTTTTAAAAAAAATATCGGAAAATAAATAAAGCATTACTTTGTCAAAAGTATTACTTGTCAAATATTATATTATAGCTCGAAATCATATCACAAGATAGCAACAATTAAGAAAATTAAATTACTCCATTTATTAGTGAGAAATATTTTATTAATTCTATTTAATTTATCAAGATTGGGTTACTCCACTTTTTAATAAAAATTTGAGTTCTCTCTCTAATCTTCTTACTCTTATACTTTTTCCTTTCTTTGTTTATCCATTAGATAAATTATCACATAGTTTATTCCAAGATGAAACAACTAGCTTTAAATAGAATAAGTACATTATACTTCTTAAATTACTCCAAAGACGTATTGCAATTATAAAAAAAATGAACTTGCGTATCAAAAGAGATTTTCAAGCATTTTTCAAATATTCGCGTTTAACTCTATAAATTTTGTGTAGAATTTCACTCTAAAGAGAGAAAATTGAACTAGTCTTGAAAAAGAGCAGCTCAATTTTCATTCTTTAAACGTGAGATTTCACTCTTCAGAGCGAGATTCGTTCTCAAAGTTTTAGAGAGTAGGTAATACTCTCACTTGATGCTTTTGGACGTTATGTAAACACAAGACTGTAATATACATGATTTTTACCACAAGTTATTTTGTTAAATATAGCTATTAATAATTTATGTAAAAAGGGAAGGCTTCGAAAGTTGAGCATCGCAGCTCCGAAAGAGGTTCGGGTTAACATAAACACCGGTAATTTAACGGCAGTCCTGAAGTCCGCGTTTCGGAGCAGGATGATTTCGCTTGCTCCGAGGCAAAGCTCGAGAAAAGGAGGATCACTACCGTGTAAGGGAGATCACCCGCGTGCAATCAACGATCGGTCGTTATTAATTACTCGCACGGATAATCATCAGCGTGCGCGGATCGCCGAATTCGAGACAGGAAAAGATTGCCTTCGTGAAAAGGGGGGCACGGAGAGAAGTAGAATAAATTTAAACTCACTGTATCTCCTCCTGACGGGAAATCTCGCTCGTCTTATAAACGTCGCCATTCTCGATCGGCGATCGAGATAATGAGTCGACAACAGCAGGGATTCGCGCGCGCGACTATACCTATCGTCCACGGGACGGGATGCCGTTTGTTTCTCACGTCGTCGTTAAGGGAGGGGAAAAAAAGGAGAAGCAGTAAACAGGGTGCAACGCGCATGAATGGCACGGCGGAAAACGTCGCCGGCTCATTGGAACAAGCGAGCGCCGTCACGACGCTCACCTTTTTTTTCCCCCATTTCCGCGCATCACGCATATGCGATACATACGCACGCAGTCGTGCAATAATAATCGAACCGGAAACGTAAATACGAGGGGCCTCCCTCCTGGATTCTCTCCCGTCGTATTTGCCTACCCACTCAGTGACAAGCAGCTTTATTTGCTTTTTTCTAACGCGCGGGCTTTATCGCGAGCTGATAATTATTTACATATACTCAGGGTATATATATATATAAATGCGAGATATGGATATAGGTTACAGATATAGTATACTGGGTGTGTTAAGGTTCATCTACAGAGAAATCGTAGGAAATTGAGCAATTCTATAAGTCGAGTATTCTTAGATTTGCGACTGCGATTGGTCAGTTTCCTACTTAAGGCCCCACGATCCTCTACGATTTCTACGTAGATGAATCTTTACGGTTAGTGAAATACGTCCTGAATCGGAGACTGAAAAACATTACGGATTTCTTCCCGCGGATATCGAACGAAGTTAATCGAGCGTTAATTGATGATTGCGGGAACAATTTACAGAGAGAAAAATGTTCAGAACTCGAAGTAAAGCTTCCTGCGTGCAACCCGGCAATGATAATCCATCGATTTCTTCATGTCGACATTTAATGCTCGACGTTCGAGAGAACTTACCGAAATTGGCGGCGTGAATGTAACTTTCGTACGCGAGAGTACGTGATGAGAATTATGTAAGGATCAGGTTGACGTACACGGTTGGTGTGCAACTTACACGCGTAATTTCAGGTGCAAGACGTTTAAAGTATTTAAACACACCGATTGAATTTATTTTATTTATACAGTTTATACGCTTTTAGAGTATCGCTTTTAGTATCGCCAATATAACTGGTAATATCATCTTACAATTGCATTTGTATCGTTGAATATTTTTTTACGCACTATTTATGCAAAGAATTTGTATCGTAATACACGAAGGTTCATTTAATTAGGATCATAAATTTTTATGAAAACCCAATTGACACATATATCATCCGAAAAAAAAAAAATAACTACCTGTGTTTATATTTATCTAATTTTCTTAATTTTACCTGAACTTATACATATATATTTATCGGTGTAAATTTTTAAGAGAAAATTTCATTTAAAAGAAATTTAATTTTGAAAGAAATAATTTAATTAAATATAAAAATTAAAATATTGCAATGCTTACAAGTAATGAATGATAGATCGTAAAATTGCTTTAGTGAAATTACTGAAATCAAATTCCCACTACTATTTGAAGAGAAAATGGCAAAATCAATGAAGAACCGTAGCTAGTCGTATATCTCTTTTTATTTAGGATTTTCTCTATTTTCAATGTGTATGTGTAAATTATCTATCAAAAAGATAATAAAAATCTAGAAAACAAATTTTTTTCAGTAAAGAAAGAAACTCTTTTAACAATTCACTGAAAAGCAACTCCATTCCTTTATGTATATTATTCTACTTTGTGCTTACATTTGAATCGATTAGAATCGGTTCGTCGCTTGCGTTAATTTCGCGTTAATTCTTCATTACCGCGCATTAAGTACGAGAATTGCAGTAAACTAATTATTCAGCGAATCTTTCCCTTATAGTCGTGATATAACAATTGTGCATTACAATACCATTGCACGGGTTTTAATTCCCCCCTCCCTTCGTGAAAGATATTTTATGTCTATGACATTTTGATGCCGCTTGCATCGTGTTTTCGTTCGTGTCTTACACTCATTAGCATAAATAACACGTCGAGCGCATCTATAATTCGCCGAATCAATAACACATAAACGAAATGCGTGAACCTGTGCACGCAAATAATAATAAGTGAAACGCGCTCCAAAAAATTTTTCAACGATTATCAGGCGATGGCTGTGTTCAGTAAAAAAAACTTTGCAATGTTGTAAGATTCATATAATTATTATAATTGGCTTTTTTCCTTAATTTCTTTTAATTCTTCACTGCGGATCCAAATGTATTTAAATACCAATCATATTTAAAGAATCTTATAACAGTTGTGTGTGTAAAGCTGTTATGGGCCGTTACATGTTTCAGCTCTTTTTGCTGAACGCAGTCATCGTCCTTTTTCTCAAGCCATGCATCAAAAATCAGATAGCAATAAATTAATTCACATATGTCTCGAATGTTTACGCGATACATTATTGCGAACAACAATTTCGTCAGCGTGTTTGCTGTAATCAGCGTGGAACGTTTCGGAAATTTTCGAAATTTTGTTTCGAAATCTCTTTCTTTCGATTCCGTCGCGTGAGAAAACGCTCGTTCGAACTTGATATCTGGGTCACCACGCCGACGCTTCGGCGGCAGTTTTGAGAACAAGATTCGTGGCGAAATCGAAGTAACAGCACAAAATTGTAACATACATTGGGCGCACGCACGCTCTCGTTCGCGGATATTGAAATCGAGTATTGAACGTAGCTCCGCGGCGATATTATTGGACGTTATTATCATTCAAATACGTATGTACATATATCTCGATATCTAAGCTTTTCGATCGCATAAATAGGTATGCAGATTATAATGCCTCAAATCACGTGAATTTCCAGATTCAATCGTTGAGTTTCTCAAATAACATAATATTATATTATATTTTCTATATCAGCAGCTTATATGATCTTTGGTACTTCATCGAAATGTAATATTGAGAGAAATAACTGAAAGCAGTATTCGTCTCTCACATATAGATAATATTATATTCACGATATATACATACATATACATATATATATAGGCCACAAAGACACGATCTTTAAATTTCATGAAACTGATCGTTCTGTGCATTGCAGTCTTGTAATAAAAGTCTAAAAACTTCGATAAGTTTAGAATCAAGTCTGAAGGAGATTTATAAGTATAAAAATAATTTACATTATTAAATATCGAAAAGGAGCAATAGTAACTTAAAATTTCATTATTTTTAATTTTTATGCGTGTCAAAATGTAAATCAATCCATTTTCTAAAAGTTTTCAAAGTAAGCAACGTCCATATTAACGTA